AGTAGAGACAGGGTTTCACCATGTTGACCAGGATGGTCTCGATCTCTTGACCTCGTGATCCACCCGCCTTGGCCTCCCAAAGTGCTGGGATTACAGGCGTGAGCCACCACGCCCGGTGCATCTACATCCTTTCCAATGCTGCCCTGGTCCCTCCCCTCACCCCAGCCATCCCTCCCATTCCCTGGACTCACAGTTCATGCGGATTTGCTGGCCGAGCTCAATCAGTTCCATCTCCGTGGGCATGTAACCCATCGTCCTCATGAGATTCCCCAGGTCCTTACAAGAGATGAACCCATCTCGGTCCTTGTCAAACTCAAGAAATGCTTCCCGCAGCTCTGAAAGTTAAGAGAGAAGAACTTTGGGGGAACTTGAAACAGTCAGTGGGGAAGAGCGGCATCCCTTGAAACTGTCAATGAAGCTTCAACTAGAGACTCCTTAAAGCATACATTTAAAAAAACCAAGGCCAGGCATGATGACTCACACCTGTAATCCCAGCACTTTGGGAGGATGAGGCGGGTGAATCACCTGAGGTCAGGAGTTTGAGACCAGCCTGGCCAACATGGCAAAACTCTATCTCTACTAAATACAAAAAATTAGCCGGGTATGGAGGTGCATGCCTGTAATCTCAGCTACTTGGGAGGCTGAGGCAGGAGAATCATTTGAACCCGGAGGTGGAGGTTGCAGTGAGACGAGATTACGCCATTGCACTCCAGTCTGGGCAACAAGAGCAAAAGAAACCAAAAACCAACCAACCAGACAAACAAAATGGCTGGGCGCGGTGGTTCACGCCTGTAATCCCAACACTTTGGGAGGCCGAGGAGGGTGGATCACCTGGGGTCAGGAGTTCAAGACCAGCCTGACCAACAAGGAGAAACCCTGTCTCTAGTAAAAACACAAAAGTAGCTCGGTGTGGTGGCACATGCCTGTAATCCCAGCTACTCGGGAGGCTGAGGCAGGAGAATCGCTTGAACCTGGGAGGCAGAGGTTGCGGTGAGCTGAGATCATGCCATTGCACTCCAGCTTGGGCAATAAGAGAAAAACTCCATCTCAAAAAAAAAAAAAAAGTGTTAGCAAGAGGCATCATTCCTGAGACCACTAAATGACAGCCCTGATGTCCTTCAGATTCTTGGGTGAAGTTACCGGGAGCCTCAAAGCCACCAAGAGAAAAACTCATTGTTTTTTTCACTCCTGAGTCTCATAGACACTTGAGGTTGGGTCTGCCTTCTAAATACTTTGGGAGGTACTTAAACTGCCACGAGAAAGAGTTCCACAAGATTACAGCTGAGTGGGAAGAGGCAGGGACTGTAAAAATTCCATGTAAAGGAATTTATTCAGAAATGCACAAAGGGACTGAGGGCAGGTCAGGTGGGTGGATGGCAACGTGGGGCAATTGAGGAAGACGGTGTTACCTTCGATCTCATCTTGTCCCAGTGGTCTTTCCTGGAAAGGAATGCAGGTGAGAGGGAATTTAGAGAGAGGGTCACCCATTCCCCAAACGGGTCCCCTTGCTCTCTCAAGCTCCTCCTCACCCTCTCGTGGTTCTCTTCCCACTCTTTCTCCTCCTCCATCCCTCCCATTTCTTTTCTCATCTCCTCACTCCTACTCCACAGTTCTTGGCTCCCCACCCCTCTGGATTCCTCGCTCCTATCCACGAATGCTGATCTCCCTCATTCCCCCTTTCATGGGCAAATACCCATCACATTGCATCTTAACACTGCAGAGTCCAATCCCCTCCTTCTCCAGATGAAGAAAGTCAGAGTTCATAACCACAGCTAACTCGTTCAGAGTGCTGACTCCGTGCCAGGCGGTTTCCACGATTGTTTCATTTAAACCTCAGAACTGCTCTGTGATTCGGATCTACGTCTCGTTTCCATCTTACCCACGAGACAGCTGAGGAACAGAGAGGTTAAGGAGCCTGCCCAAGGTCACACAGCTCACAAGCGGCAGATCCCCTCCCAAGGTGGGGAAACATTAAATTACTCCCTGGAGGTCATGGGGCAAGTCAGGCACAACTTTGGGATTAGAATTCAGGGCTCCTGACTCTGAAGTCAGAATTCTTCACACTAATCCCCATTAACTCTTTTCTCACCTGCCTCCAATCTTCCTGCCAAAGGTTACAATCCCTGTGCATGGAACCAGCATTCAATGGCATTCAGGCAGGAGGGTCAGTGCCAGTACGACCAACTCCTAAACACTCTGAGAATTTCCAGTTGCCCCACCTACTCCTGGACATACCTGAAGGGTTGGGCTTAGATAGACATGACATGTTAACAAGGAAATTCTAATGGCCTCTCACCCCCTCATCTCCCTTTATCCCAGAGCCTTTCCCTCAGCTTGTCTTTCATCTCATCCCCTCCCTGCGATCCCTTATTTCTCTTTTTTTCATTTTCTTTTTTTCGTGATCTTAAAGCCTAACAATTAAAACATATCCACATATCTGGACAAGTTGGTGTATATGGAAAAATTTAGAAATTAATTAAATTAAAAAAAATTTTTTTAAGCATGCCCACAGGAATCAAGCAGACCTGACCCTACCATTTACTATTTTTTTTTTTTTTTTTGAGACAGAGTCTCACTCTGTTGCCCAGGCTGGAGTGCAGCGGCATGAACAGGGCTCACTACAGCCTCCACTTCCTGGGCTTGAATGATCCCCTTGCCTCAGCCCCCTGACTAGCAGAGACTGCAGATGCATGCCACCAAGCCCAGCTATTTTTTTTGTTTGTTTTGTATTTTAAGTAGAGATGGGATCTCTCTGTGTATCCCAGGCTGGTCTCGAACTCCTGGACTTAAGTGATCCTCCTGCTTCTGCCTCTCAAGGTGCTGGGATTCAGGTATGAGCCTGTACTTGGCCAACCCTGCCACATACTAACTGTGTCAGCTTAAGGCAAAGGACTTCATGACTCGGAGCTTCACTTTCCTCACCTATAAAATGGGAATGAAAGTCACTGACCTCCCGAGTTGTTCTGAGGCATAAATGACATCAAACGTGCAAATCCCTTTGCACAGTGCTGGGCAATAAGCAATGACTTAATAAGTGGCAGCTATTGTTATTAACATCATCATCATCACCATCACCATCACCATCATCACCACCACCATCACCACCACCATCATCACTATAATCACCATCGCCACCACCATCATCATCACCATCATCACATTCATCAACACGATCATCACCATGACCATCATCACTATCACCACCACCATCACCATCATCACCATCAACACCATCATTACTACCATCGCCATTATAATCACCATCACCATCACTACCACCACCATCATCACCACCAGTACCACCATCATCACTATAATCACCATCACCACCACCACCATCATCACCATCACTACCACCACCATCATCACCACCATTACCACCATCATCACCATCAACACCATCACTACCACCATCATTACTACCATCACCATTATAATCGCCATCACTACCACCACCATCATCACTATAATCACCATCACCACCACCACCAACACCATCAACACCATCACCACCACCATCACTACCATCGCCATTATAATCACCATCACCACCAGCACCACCACCATCACTACCATCACCATTATAATCATCACCATCACCACCACCATCATCACCATCGTCATCACTGCCGTTATCACAATGAGCATCCATAGAAAAGAATGATGGTAATCTCAACAATGACATCATCTCACTTCCCTGATTGTTTTTCTTCCCTTTCTCTCCTTCTCTTTGCTCCTGACTTCTGATTTTACCCCCACCCATTTATCTCACTGGCTTACATGACCCCATGAGGGTCCTTGGAATTCTTGTACCTTCTCAGTTCCTGCTCTATCCACCTGTTCCCCTGGTTCTGTAGCACCATCATGTCCCCTTCTTTGTCCCACACCTCTGGTCTGCTTGCCCTGCCCACAGCCCTTCCCCTTCACTCCCCACCTCACCCTCTGTTTATCAGCGATGCCTTTCCTCAAGAAGATGCAGGCGGGGCCCATGGGAAACTGCATGGAGGGGTGGGGTGGAGCTCGCAGGGCACCAGTCTCAAGATGCTCCTCCTCCCTGCTCCTTGTTGGAGCTCAGCCTCCTTATCTTCTCTAGCACTCCTTTGCCACCTCTTCCTGCCTCTCCTGGCTTCTCTCTTGGTCCCTGTGTCTTAGAGCTGTGACAGCTGGGCTGAAAATCTCCACCCGGGTTGGGGAGGGATCAGAGCTGTCCCTGCCTCCCCATCTGGCTTGAATGATATGGGTAGGGAGAGCCAAAGTCAGGCTCTGTGACTCCTTTATCCCCAGAGTGGAATTGGAAGGTGCATTTTTAAAATGGGGTTTAGAGGCTGGATGCGCTGCTCATGTCTGTAGTCCCAGGGCTTTGGGAGGCTGAGGTGGGAGGACTGCTTGAGCCCAGGAGTTTGAGACCAGCCTGAGCAACATACAGAGACCTTGTATTTATATATATAAAAAACTAAAATAAAAATTAGCCTTGCATGGTGGCACACACCTGTACTCCCAGCTGTTCCAAAGGCTCAGATAGGAGAATTGCTTGAGCCCAGGAGTTCGAGGCTGCAGTGAGCTATGATTGCATCATTGCACTCCAGCCTGGCTGACAAAGTGAGACTCTGTCTCGAAAGAAAAGAAAAGAAAAGAAAGAAAGAAAGAAAGAGAAAGAGAAAGAAAGAAAGAAAGAAAAAAAGAAAATTGGCTCACTGCAACCTACTTTTTTGTATTTTTAATAGAGACGGGGGTTTCACCATATTGACCAGGCTGTCTCAAACTCCTGACCTAAAGTGATCCGCATGCCTCGGTCTCCCAAAGTGCTGGGATTACAGGCGTGAACCACCGCGAGAGTCTCTGTTTTTTACCATTTCCCTGCACTGCCCCCTGCTGCTCAAAAGAATAAATGCATATGCAGGCAAGAATGAATCAGTTCCCATTTCCCTAGGAGGGGAAACCGAGGTCGAGGAGCTGGGCGGGGAGACCCCAGCATCCTCTGACCTCTTTCCTTACCTCCCTGTCCCCGCCCGCAGGTGAAGCTGGTGTTCGTGGAGGACCAGGCGGTGGTGGAGACGGTGTTCTTCCTGACGTCGCGCACCAGGGCGCTGCTGCGGCGCTTCCCGCGCATGCTGCTGGTGGACCGGCTGCCGGGGCTGCAGGGCGCGCTGGATCTGCTGGCCGTGCTGTGCGTGGACGGCGCGGGCCGTGCGCGCCAGGCTGCCTGTTGCGTGGCGCGCCCGGGCACGCCGAGCCTGCTGCGTTTCGCGCTCGCGTCGCTGCTGCAGAGTGCGCCAGACGTCAAAGGCCGCGTGCGCTGCCTCACCGCCGGGCCGGAGGTGGCGGCACAGCTGCCTGCCGTGCGCCAGCTGCTGCCCTGCGCGCGCGTGCAGATCTGCCGCGCTCAGGGCCTGGAGACGCTCTTCAGCAAGGCGCAGGAGCTGGGCGGCGCTGGCCGCGAGGACCCGGGCCTGTGGTCGCGCCTGTGCCGCCTGGCCGGCGCGTCGTCGCCCGCCGCCTACGACGAGGCGCTGGCCGAGCTGCACACCCACGGCCCGGCCGCCTTCGTCGACTACTTCGAGCGCAACTGGGAGCCCCGACGCGATATGTGGGTCCGCTTCCGCGCCTTCGAGGCGGCCCGGGACCTGGACGCGTGCGCCCTGGTGCGAGGCCACCGCCGGCGACTGCTGCGCCGTCTCAGCCCCTCGCGTGGCGTGGCTCAGTGCCTTCGGGACCTGGTGGCCATGCAGTGGGCGGACGCGGCCGGGGAGGCGGCGCCCGAGGGCCCCGATGGCGGGGGGCTGTGGCTGGAGGGTGAGCCGGGGAAGGGGGCCCAGGTGGAGAACGAGAGGGTGAGGGGCCTGGAGACAGGCGACTGGGGAGGGGTCCTGGAAGAAGGAAGTATTTGGAGGGGGGCCCAGATGGAGAAGGAGTGGGCCAGAGGACTGGAAACCAGAGACTGGGGCGGGGCTCCGTTAGAAGGTGACAAGGGGAGGGCGCTGCAGATCAGAGACTGGAGAGGGGGCCAGTTGGAGAATCAGAAGCCGAGGGGACTGGAAGGGATTGTCTGGAGAGGGTCCCAGTCGGAGAAAGGGCACCTGAGAGGGCCAGAGATTAAAGACTGGAGGGGGCCCCAGCTGGAGGGTGAGAAAGATTGGAGACTGGAAGATTATGTCTGGAGGGGGACCCAGTTGGAGGACCAGGCACTAAGAGGATTGGAAAGGTATCCGTGGAGGGGGGCCCAGTTGGAGGATCGCAGGAGTAGGGTGCTGGAGACCACCAACCAGAGGGGAACCCAGTTTAACTATGAGAGGGCCAGGAGTCTTGAAGGAAGCCCCTGGAGGGGGGCACAGCTGCACGATGATAGGGCGGGGGGGCTGAGAACTGGAGAATGGAAGGGGCCACAGTTGGATGTAGAGAAGGGGAGGGAGTGGGAGGTCAGAAACTTGAGGGGGATCCCTTTGGAGAAGTCCCTGGAGTTGGCCCCTGAGAACGGAAACCAAAGGGGCCCCCGGTGTGAAGATGAGAGGAGAGGGCCAGAGATGGCAGAAGAGAGGGGAGTGAGGGTGGGGGCCAAAAGAAGAAGGGGCCTGGAGAAGGTCTTTCTGGTCCAGCTGGGGGACACGAGGGTCACGGGCATGGAGAATGGAGATGGAGGGGGAGCCTGGTCCCTGGGCCCCAAGAGCTGAGCTGGACGAGGGATGAAGTGGGGAAACACAGGAGGGTGGTGTCCCGGGCTGGGAATGGAGTCGTATGTGGTATCCCCGGGCTAGATGGATAGAGGAGCCACAGTGAATTCATCTCCACAGCAACTCAAGCTTCATCCTCCATCATCTGTACCAGGGCCTCCCAGTGGCAACTTCTTGACATGAGTCAATTCTGCCTTCAAATGACTGACTCATGCCAAATGTCCTGGCCACAGAATGGGCATGGGACCCAGTCCTGGCCAACGAGTCTGCTCAGGTTGAGGTGGGAGGCTTCTTTTTCTATTTTTGTAGAGACAGGATCTTGCTATGTTGCTCAGGCTGGCCTTGAACTTCTTGACTCAAGCGATCCTCCTGCCACAGCCTCCCAAAGTGCTGGGATTACAGCTGTGAGCCACTGTGCTCAGCCTAGGAGGCTTTTTTTCCCCCTATTTCTTTCTTTTTTGAGATAAGAGTCTCGCTCTGTCACCAGGCTGGAATGCAGTGGCATGATCTCGGCTCACTGCTACCTCCAACCTCCCAGGTTCAAGTGATTCTCATGCCTCAGCTGCCCAGGTAGCTGGGATTACAGCTGTGTGCCACCACCTCTGGCTAATTTTCGTGTTTTCAGTAGAGTTGGGGTTTCACCATGTTGGCCAGGCTGGTCTCGAACTCCGGACCTCAGGTGATCTGCTCGCCTCCCTGGGATGACTGGCATGAGCCACCATGCCTGGCCTAGGAGGCTTCTAATAAAGGTTCTCTCGTTCCTAAGAAGACATAGCATGACATGATCAGGCCTAGACCTGCTGCTGACGACTTTGGCATGGTGTGATAATGAAGTCCACACTGAGGATGACAGAGCTGAGATGAAGACAATCTGGATCTTCCCATGCCTAAGGTGAGTCTCTGGGGTCTGCTCTACCATGGGGTTTCTTCAGAGAAATATATATGTATATATTTTTTAGAGACAGGGTCTCACTCTGGCGAAGAAAGGAATGAATGAAAGAAAGAAGGAAAGAAAAGAAAAACAGAAGAAAGAAAAGAGAGAAGAAAGAGAAAGAAAAAGAAAGGACGGAAGGAAGAAGTAAAGAAAGAAAGGAAGGAAGGAGGGAGGGAGGGATGGATTCTGGGGAGTCAAACACAACAGCAATTCAATGCAGACCCAATCCAAAACTTCTCCACGTGTCTGTTTTATCATTAGATTCTTAGATGTGGGTTATCTGGTTAGTGATGGGAAACTGATTTAATTCATTAATTCATTCATCAAATAACACACAGAGCCCTGGGGTGGAAAAGAGCTCAGCCCATAAGATAAGAGAAGATGGGCCAGTGTAGATGGGTCAGCGTGTGAGAGAGGGAGAGATTTGGATAATGAGATCAGCAAGCCCTTAAAGATAGAAGATGAGGTGAATGTTTATCCTGGGAGGTATGGGAAGCCTTCAAAAGGTTTTCAAGCCACTTTCAAGAGAGTGGCTTGATTGGATGTCCGTTGGAATATCCACCTCCCCTCCTTCAGAAGCTTTGCTGTGACAAATGGATTGGATGAGTCCAGAGCAGGAAGAGATGCGTTGCATGTGACCATAAACAAACAAATACAAATAAATTAAAAAACAGGCAGAAAGTTCTTCATAGAACTGGGCCTTGAAGAACGTGTTTGCCAGCAGAAGAGAATGAAGAAGTACGTTCTTGTTGGAGGGAACTGCAGGAATCACAGTATTTTGCCCTTCAGGAAGGCAAGAGGAAACTAAAGGTTGGTGACCCTTGACCTTCTCCATATGCCTCACATGTCCAGCTCACAAGTGTCAGTTCAAGTTTAGCCTAAAGCTGCCTCCTTAGGTGTTTTCAGTGTGGTCTGAAGTGTTTTCTGTGCATCGTGCACTGTAACAAGGGAGGTGTGAACCGGAGGTGAACCTACACTTGAGCCAGTCGCTGAGTTTTGGGCAGTCACATGTAGCCAACGGGTCTAATTGTGTTCAAACAAGGCAAACACTGAACTGTAATCAATCCAGCTGTGTCTGTACCTCACTTCTGTTTTCTGTATGTCACCTACCTTTTTCTGTCCACAAATCTTCCACCACATGGCTGTGCTGGACTTTCAGCCTGCTCTGGCTCAAGGCTGCCTGATTTGTGAATCTTTCATGGCTTAATTAAACTCTATTTATTTTGAGATGGAGTCTTGCTCTGTTGCCTGGGCTACAGTGCAGTGGCGCGATCTCAGCTCACCACAACAATCTCCGCCTCCTGTGTTCGAGCGATTCTCATGCCTCAGCCTTCCCAGTAGCTGGGATTACAGACACCCGCCACCACACCCAGCTAATTTTTTGTGTTTTAGTAGAGACGGGGTTTCATCATGTTGACCAGGCTGTTCTTGAACTCCTGACTTGAAGCCATCTGCCCTCCTCAAGCTACCCAAAGTACTGGGAGTATAGGTGTGAGCCACTGCGTCCGGCCATTCACCTTCTTTACATTTAATTGGGCTGAAGTTCTTCTTTTATCACAAGTCACATCAATCCCTCAGGCCCTGCTCAAATGCCACCTCCCCCTGAAAGCCATCGTTAAGTCGTCTCTCTAAAGAGCCACCCCAGCCCCTTTCTTTGCTTTATCCTTCACGGCACTTATCACTTCCTGAAATTATGCCACACAGCTATTTACCAACTTGCCATTGTGTTAGGCTTATCAAGTATGAAGCCAGACTGCTTGGGTTCAAATCCCAGCACCACTACTTCCTTGCCATGTGACCATCACGTTCAGCCTAGGTTACAGTTTAGGGGTCATAATAGTACCTGTCTCATAGGGCTTTGTGAGGATAAATGAATCAGTGTGTGCACCAATGTTCTAACGTTGCCTGAATTTCCGTTTTCCCCAAAGCAGCCCAGTTACTTATTAACATACTGTTCTTTCCAGTAACCTGTGTTCACCGTTGTTATGTCAATCTCCTCGCTCTATTTTGTTTTCCTTTGTATCCCCAGTGACTAGAACAATGCCTGTTGCAAAGCAAGCTTTGAGTTAAAAAAATAAAAAAAAAAAGATGAAAGAATGAAAATGACAGGCTGCCTAGCAGAACTGGCGCTTCACGATGCTTCACTGTTGCTATGGTGGCGATCCAGTCTGCAGGAAGATCCCAGCTTCCATAACCTTGTCCCTTCCTGCATCCGGCTCACCCATTGGCCACCTGTGTGTCCCGCTGTAGCAGCCAGAAAACTGCAACTCCCAGCAGGCTGAGCGCCACCAGCACTTTCGCGCCTAGTCCCTTTGCTGAGAGTGAGCGCCTGCGCAGTAGAATCCACTGGCCCAGAGCTCCATCTGAGCATGTGCAGGGGGCGGGGTGTTTCCTTTTTCGGCTGGCTGGAGAGGAGTGGGGAGGACCCGGTTACACGCTGAGCTCTCGGCTCTCCTTTTCCAGAGGGTCTGGGCACCGGGGCTGCCAACTCGGGGTGAGGAGTGGGGGCAGGAAACCTGCTTCGATCTCCATGGTTACGAGCCGCTCAGCGCGCTGGAGGAAGATTCAAAGGTTAGCGTTGCCACGGTAACCCTGGATTGGAGTGGGACGGGGATTAGAGACCTGACGGGAGAAATAAGACTTAACAGCCTGGGAACTGGTGGGACGGAGAGTGTGCCGAAGGAATCAGTTTGCAGTAAGGGGAGTTAGGGTGATATTAGGAGAACTGGGATGTTTTGAAGGAGAGGGAATGTTTTGATGAATTCCTATGTAATAAAGAGATTTGTGGGAGATCACTGAAATCGATGTTACTAGGTACTTGGGATGCTCAAGGGAAATGCAGTAGGAAAATTGGGGTGTTCATCTCATTTGCTATTCTTCAGCTATGTATAGAGCTTCTGCTGTAAGCCTGGCTCCTGGCTAATTTTTGTATTTGTAATAGAGACGACGTTTCACTGTGTTGACCAGGCTGGTCTCAAACTCTTGGCTTCAAGCAATCCACCCGCCTTGACTTCCCAAAGTGCTAGGATTACAAGGGTGAGCTACTGCAGCTGGCCGAGTTGTAGTTCTTTATTCTGGATATTAGACCCTTGGATACGTAATTTTTAAATATTTTCTCGGATTCTGAAGGCTTGCTTTCTACTTGCTCAGGAATGTCTTTTGATGTACAAAATAGTTTTCATTTCCAACAAAGTCCAATTTGTCTTATTTTTTTTAGCGGCCTGTGCTTTTGATGTGGTATCAAACAGTTGCCAAATCCAAAGTCCTGGAGATTTACCTAGATGAGAGTACAGTTTTAGCGCTTAGATTTGAACATTTGATCCATTTTAAATTACTGTACGTGTTATATCTGTCGTTGTATGTGTTACTGTATGCATGTTATTGTGTGTGTAAATGTCTGTTTTAGTCAATGTTCTCTAGAAGGACAGAATAATGGAATATAGGTATATAAAAGGAAGTTTATTAAGGAGAATTGACTCACACGATTGCAAGGAAAAGTCCCACGATAGGCTGTCTGCAAGTTGAGGAGCAAGGAAGCCAGTGGTGGATCAGTCCAGGTCCCCAACCCTCAAAAGTAGGGGAGCAAACAGGGCAGCCTTCAGTGTGTGGCCAAAGGCCTGAGCACCTGGCAAACCATGTGGTGTTAAGTCCAAGAGTTCAAAAGTTGCAGAACTTGGAGTCTGATATTTGTGGGCTGGAGGCATCCAGCACCAGTGAAAAATGAAGGCCGGGAGACTCGGCAAGTCTGCACTTCCTTTGCGTGCTTTATTCCTACCCTGCTGGTTACTGATCAGATGGTGCCCACCCGGATTGAGGGTGGGTCTGCCTTTCCCAGCCCACTGACTGAAATGTTCATCTCCTTTGGCCACACCCTCACAGACACACCCAGGAACAATACTTTGCATCTTTTGGTCCAATCAAATGGACACTTAATATTAAACATCATAATGTCCAACTTCATTCTTTGCATGTGGATATCCAGTTGTTACAGCCCCATTTGCTGAAGAGTGTTTTATCCTCATTGAATTATCCTGGCATCCTTGTCAAAAATTATTTCACCGTAAGTGTGTGGATTTACTTCTGCTTGCTTTTCTTTCTTTCTCTTTCTTTCTTTCTTCTTTTTCTTTCTTTTAAAAGTATTTGAAGATTTATAGATTTCTTACAGCTGTTGGTTTATAATAATTTATAAACCAATTACTCATGTAGTCCTATAAAATTAACCTTTGATCATTCCGGATGGCTTTTTGTGGGAGAGATCAACCAAGGATATTAGCTGAGGGATTGATGTGACTTCAGATAAAATTAAAACTTCAGACGTCAACATGATGAAACCCCGTCTCTACTAAAATACAAAAAATTAGCCGGGTGTGGTGGTGGGTACCTGTAATCCCAGCTATTGGGAAGGCTGAGGCATGAGAAAGAATTGCTTGGACACAGGAGATGGAGGTTGTTGTGGTGAGCTGAGATCACGCTACTGCACTCCAGCCTAGGCAACAGAGTGAGACTCCATGGATACGTAATTTTTAAATATTTCTCAAAATAAACAGAGTTTAATTGAGCCATGAAAGATTCACGAATCAGGCAGCCTTGAGCCAGAGTAGGCTGAAACTCCAGCACAGCCATGTGGTGGAAGATTTGTGGACAGGGATATTACCCATCAACAGTATTTGCTTTAGACTTCGGAACCTGTCCTTTAATCTTTAACCTCTAGTGGTATTGGGCGATCTGGGCTCACTGCAACCTCCTCCTCCCGATTTCACGTGATTCTTCTGCCTCAGCCTGCCAACCAAATAGCTGGGATTACAGGTGTTCACCACCATGCCCAGCTAATTTTTTAGTAGAGATGGGGTTTCTCCATGTCTGTCAGGCTGGTCTCAAACTCCTGACTCAGGTGATCCACCTGCCTTGGAGTGCTGGGATTACAGTCATGACACCCAGCAGTCAGCAATCAGGACTCTTTGGTTTTTATTTTGTATCTGGGATTCCTCATGGCCTCTTTTCCTGGATACTCCCATGTCCTTTAATTTCAGCATAATAATGCTTCCTCTGGGAGACTTTGTCTTAGATTCACCCACCTCCCCACACACTCTTCTGTGTTCTAGATCCCTGCTCTGTGCACCTTTAACTCACTGCCTGGGTCTTTGGTTCTCGTCCTGGTCTGGCTGTTTTCCCATGTACTGCTTCCGCTTTGTGACTGCTCTAGGCATTCCTCCTACTACAAACTACTATATGGTTATATAGAAGGATTATATAAATCAGCACTAAATGTGTCAGTACAGCTCTGACTACATCTGTTATATGATTATATAGAAAAATTATATGGACCTAAGTATGCTAGATATAAGTACTAAGTATGATTATATAAGCTAGATATATGTAAGCAGTAAGTTATACTTCAGGCACTAATTCTATCATATATGGTTTTATATATAAAGGAGTATATAAAGGAAATAGCTGAGTAATAATACTATAAATTAAGATATTCTTCAGGCACTAATTGTGCCTGGGGTTTGCATAGCTCTCCTTTCTCAGTGCCCATGTGGGGGTTACCCACAGTGGCAGGTACCTGTAATTCTATCTGTAAAGCTACTCGAGAGGCTGAGGCAGAGAATTGCTTGAACCCAGGAGGCAGAGGTTGCAGTGAACTGAGATTGTGCCACTGCACTCCAGTCTGGGTGACAGAGCAAGACTCCATCTCAAAAAAAAAAAAAAAAAAAAGAAAAAAGAAAAAAGAAATTTAATCCTGGCCAGACACCGTGGCTTTTGCTTCTAATCCCAGCACTCCAGGAGGCCAAGGAAGGTGGATCACTTGAAGCCAAGAGTTTGAGACCAGCCTGGGCAGCACAGTGCAACCTCGTCTGTACTAAAAATACAAAAATTAGCCAGGCATGTTATCACATGCCTATAATCCCCAATACTTATGTGGCTGAGGCAGGCGAATTGCTTGAATGCAGGAGGCAGAGGTTGCAGTGAGCCAAGATCACAACACTGCACTCCAGCCTGGGCAACAGAGCAAGACTCCATCTGAAAAAAAAAAAAAGAAAAAGAGAAATTAATCCCCATGTAACAGTATTGAGAGGTGAGATTATTTAAGAGGTGATTGAGCATGAGGGCAGAGCCCTTATGAATGGATTAATCTCCATTGATGGTTTAATCAATTAAGGGGTTACATGGGAGTGGGACTAGTGGCTTTATAATAAGGGGGAGCAAAACCTGAGCTAGCACCCTCAGCCACTATGCCATGTGACACCCCGTGCTGCCCTAGGACTCTGCAGAATCCCCACTGGCATGAAGCCACATGTGGTTCCTGACCCTGGACATTTCAGGCTCCATAACTGGAAGAAATAAATTCTTTTTCTTCATACATTACCTCTTTTCAGGTATTCTGTTATAAGCACAAGAAAACAAACTAAGACAGATACTGGTAAGTCCTCTGAAACAAATACTCGATCACATCGGGGTCGCTACCTGAGATGTCAGTCACCACCTGTGGAGGTCTCTCTTGCCGACCCTGACTCCAGGATGGAGGAATAAATGCACTCTCACACCTATTTCAGTGATTCACGTGCGCTAGGGATGGTCATCGGCCACTTTCCAAGGGCAACCACGGCCAATCACCAAGACTCTGTCCACATCCTCTCATTTATTCAGTATCAATTTCGTAACAGAGGTTAAAAGTCAACGTGCTCGTGGATAATTAACATGTTTAAAAGAGTGGTTTTACACATGATAAAACCTTTAGGTTCCGGGGCCCAGAGTAAACACTATTAACAGGTAATTCCCTTTTGATCTCCCCCTGAGAGGACCATCCAGCACAAAGTTTACATGAGCAAACAAATTAGAGTACAGACAAAGGGATGTGGGGTAAACAGACATCACTGGGGAAGCCTCTTATTGTCCCTATCTTTTCCCTAACATAATGGACGGGCTGCCTTCAGCCTGTTCTGATAAAACCTTTCGGACTTCCAAAAGGTTTGAGACTACATAACTCTCCCTAATATTTACCTAATATTTTGCTAGCCACCCCGAGTGAACCCCAACATAGGGTGGTGACGGTTAGACCTGCCATGCAAAGGGCTGGGTGGACATTCCAAATAGAGGGTAAGAGTTAGGACGAGGTTGGATCAAGATTGGCTTGTTTGGGGAACAGGAGAAGGCTGGGGGTGAGACAGAGGAAGTACGAGGGCAACTGATAAGAGATGAAGTCGAACAGTTGGGAACCAGGAAGCCTCCACACTTGTCACCCCACACATCAACTTTCTGCAATGATGACGTTACTGTATGGAAGGTCTTGACTGAGTTGTCAGGGTTCTTGATGTGTTGAACAAAGAATTGAACAAAATCACAAACAAAGCAACAAAAGAGTGGAGTAACAAAAGCACAGATTTATTGAACCACAAGGATGCTCCACAGAATGGGAGTGGGCTTGAGCACGTGGCTCAAGAGCCCCAGACTGCAGCGTTTTTTAGGTTTTTTGTTTGTTTTTGAGATGGAGTCTCTGTTGCCCAGGCTGTAGTGCAGTGGCACAATCTCAGCTCACTGCAACCTCCGTCTCCCGGGTTCAAGTGATTCTCCTGCCTCAGCCTCCCAAGTAGCTGTGCCTACAAGCCCACACCACTATGCCCAGCTAATTTTTGTTGTTGTTGTTGTTGTATATTTAGTGGATATGGGGTTTCACCACGTTAGCCGGGATGGCCTCAATCTCTTGACCTCGTGATCCGCCCATCTCCGCCTCCCAAAGTGCTGGGATTATAAGTGTGAGCTACCATGTCTGGCTGTAAGTGCTGTTCTCAGTGTTGGCTTCAACACTGTGACTTTTCCTGACTATCCCTAGCTTCTCATACAACCCAAGTACTCTATAAAACCTGTGTCCCCTATAGTAACCCACTTTTCACAAACAAAGTACCCATAATGAGAGTTGCCAAATGAAATACAGAATGCCCAGCTAAATTTGAATTTCTGATAAACAGAGTTTTCTCTGGTAACCCTATCCCGAAATCGCGTTGCATATGAAGGAATCCCCGGTGCTTCCTAGAGGCTGCTACTGAGTTGGCTTTCTATAATTAGTAACAGAATTAACTTATATAATACCTCAATTCCCTTATAAAACCTCCAGCTTCTTCTTATAGCTCCAGTTCTTCCCAATTCCCTCCCAGTCGCTCCCATAGAGAACAAGAGTCCACTTTTCCTTTACGTCCCCTGCTCCATGAAACCCCAATTCCCTCTGTAGCCACATCTGTCCAATTCACCAGTACTGTCAACATCTGACCGTGCCAAGCTTACAGCAGGAGCTCTATACATTGCTGCAGAATAGCAAATGAGCTTAACACCCCAATTTTCCTACTGCATTTCCCTTGAGCATCCCAAGTACCTAGTAACATTGATTCAATGATCTCCCACAAATCTCTCTATTACATAGGAATTCATCAAAACATTCCCTCTCATTCAAAACATCCCAATTCTCCTGGCCGGGCGCGGTGCCTCAAGCCTGTAATCCCAGCACTTTGGGAGGCCGAGGCGGGTGGATCACGAGGTCAAGAGATTGAGACCATCCTGGTCAACACGGTGAAACCCCGTCTCTTCTAAAAATACAAAAAATCAGCTGGGCATGGTGGCGCGTGCCTGTAATTCCAGCTACTCAGGAGGCTGAGGCGGGAGAATTGCTTGAACCCAGGAGGCGGAGGTTGCGGTGAGCCGAGATCACGCCATTGCACTCCAGCCTGGGTAACAAGAAACTCCGTCTCAAAAAAAAAAAAAAAAAATCCCAATTCTCCTGATATCACCCTAACTCCCCTTACTGCAAACTGATTCCTTCGACACGCTCTCTATCCTACCACTTCCCAGGCTGTTAAAGTCTAATTTCTCCCGCGAGGTCTTTGATCCCCGTCCCACTCCAATCCAGGGTTACCGTGGCAACGCCAAACTTTGAATCTTCCTCCAGCGCGCTGAGCGGCTCGTAATCATGGAGACCGAAGCAGGTTTCCCGCCCCCACTCCTTACCCCGAGTTGGCAGCCCCGGTGCCCAGACCCTCTGGAAAAGGAGAGCCGAGCTGAGCTTGTAACCGGGTCCTCCCCACTCCCCTCCAGCCAGCCGAAAAAGGAAACACCCCGCCCCCTGCACATGCTCAGATGGAGCTCTGGGGGCCAGTGGATTCTACTGCGCAGGCGCTCTCGGCAAAGGGACTAGGCGCGAAAGTGCTGGTGGCGCTCAGCCTGCTGGGAGTTGCAGTTTTCTGGCTGCTACAGCGGGACACACAGGTGGCCAATGGGTGAGCCGGATGCAGGAAGGGACAAGGTTATGGAAGCTGGGATCTTCCTGCAGACTGGATCGCCACCATAGCAACAGTGAAGCATCGTGAAGCGCCAGTTCTGCTAGGCAGCCTGTCATTTTCATTCTTTCATCTTTTTTGTCTTATTTTTTTAACTCAAAGCTTGCTTTGCAACAGGCATTGTTCTAGTCACTGGGGATACAAAGGAAAACAAAATAGAGCTTACGTTTTGGCGGGAGGAGATTGACATAACAACGGTGAACACAGGTTACTGGAAAGAACAGTATGTTAATAAGTAACGGGGCTGCTTTGGGGAAAACGGAAATTCAGGCAACGTTAGAACATTGGTGCACACACTGATTCATTTATCCTCACAAAGCCCTATGAGACAGGTACTATTATGACCCCTAAACTGTAACCTAGGCTGAACGTGTTGGTCACATGGCAAGGAAGTAGTGGCGCTGGGATTTGAACCCAAGCAGTCTGGCTTCATACTTGATAAGCTTAACACAATGGCAAGTTGGTAAATAGCTGTGTGGCATAATTTCAGGAAGTGATAAGTGCCGTCAAGGATAAAGCAAAGAAAGGGGCTGGAGTGGCTCTTTAGAGAGATGACTTAACGATGGCCTTCAGGGGGAGGTGGCATTTGAGCAGGGCCTGAGGGATTGATATTACTTGTGATAAAAGAAAAACTTCAGCCCAATTAAATGTAAAGAAGGTGAATGGCCGGGCGCGGTGGCTCACACCTATACTCCCAGTACTTTGGGTAGCTGAGGAGGGCAGATGGCTTCAAGTCAGGAGTTCAAGAACAGACTGGTCAACATGATGAAACCCCGTCTCTACTAAAATACAAAAAATTAGCTGGGTGTGGTGGCGGGTGCCTGTAATCCCAGCTACTGGGAAGGCTGAGGCATGAGAATCGCTCGAACACAGGAGGCGGAGATTGTTGTGGTGAGCTGAGATTGCGCCACTGCACTGCAGCCCAGGCAACAGAGCAAGACTCCATCTCAAAATAAATAGAGTTTAATAAGCTGTGAAAGATTCACAAATCAGGCAGCCTTGAGCCAGAGCAGGCTGAAAGTCCAGCACAGCCATGTGGTGGAAGATTTGTGGACAGAAAAAGGTAGGTGACATACGGAAAACAGAAGTGAGGTACAGACACAGCTGGATTGATTACAGTTCAGTGTTTGCCTTATTTGAACACAATTAGACCCGTTGGCTACATGTGACTGCCCAAAACTCAGCGACTGGCTCAAGTGTAGGTTCACCTCCGGTTCACACCTCCCTTGTTACAGTTCACGATGCACAGAAAACACTTCAGACCACACTGAAAACACCTAAGGAGGCAGCTTTAGGCTAAACTTGAACTGACACTTGTGAGCTGGACATGTGAGGCATATGGAGAAGGTCAAGGGTCACCAACCTTTAGTTTCCTCTTGCCTTCCTGAAGGGCAAAATACTGTGATTCCTGCAGTTCCCTCCAACAAGAACGTACTTCTTCATTCTCTTCTGCTGGCAAACACGTTCTTCAAGGCCCAGTTCTATGAAGAACTTTCTGCCTGTTTTTTAATTTATTTGTATTTGTTTGTTTATGGTCACATGCAACGCATCTCTTCCTGCTCTGGACTCATCCAATCCATTTGTCACAGCAAAGCTTCTGAAGGAGGGAAGGTGGATATTCCAACGGACATCCAATCAAGCCACTCTCTTGAAAGTGGCTTGAAAACCTTTTGAAGGCTTCCCATACCTCCCAGGATAAACACTCACCTCATCTTCTATCTTTAAGGGCTTGCGGATCTCATTATCCAAATCTCTCCCTCTCTCACACGCTGACCCATCTACACTGGCCCATCTTCTCTTATCTTATGGGCTGAGCTCTTTTCCACCCCAGGGCTCTGTGTGTTATTTGATGAATGAATTAATGAATTAAATCAGTTTCCCATCACTAACCAGATAACCCGCATCTAAGAATCTAATGATAAAACAGACACGTGGAGAAGTTTTGGATTGGGTCTGCATTGAATTGCTGTTGTTTTTGACTCCCCAGAATCAATCCCTCCCTCCCTCCCTCCCTCCTTTCTTTCTTTCCTTCTTCCTTCCTTTCTCTTTCTTTCTTCTTTTTCTTCTCTTTTACTTTTTTTTTTTTTAGATGGAGTTTCGCTCGTTACCCAGGCTGAAGTGCAATGGCGCAATCTCGGCTCACTGCAACCTCCGCCTCCTGGGTTCAAGCAATTCTCCTGCCTCAGCCTCCCGAGTAGCTGGGACTACAGGTACGCGCCACCATGCCCAACTAACTTCTGTATTTTTAGTAGAGACGGGGTTTCACCTTGTTGACCAGGATGGTCTCGATCTCTTGACCTCATGATCCACCCGCCTTGGCCTCCCAAAGTGCTGGGATTACAGGCGTGAGCCACTGCACCCAGCCCTCTTTCTTTCTTCTTTTCTTTCTCTTCTTTTTGTCTTTTTCTTTTCTCTTTCTTTTCTTCTTTCTCTCCCTCTCTTTCTTTCATCTCTCTCTTTCTTCCTTTCCTTTCTTTCTTCCCCAGAGTGAGACCCTGTCTCTAACAAAATATATATATTTTACTGAAGAAGCCCCATGGTAGAGCAGACACCAGAGACTCACCTTAGGCATGGGAAGATCCAGATTGTCTTCATCTCAGCTCTGTCATCCTCAGTGTGGACTTCATTATCACACAATGCCAAAGTCGTCAGCAGCAGGTCTAGGCCTGATCATGTCATGCTAGGTCTTCTTAGGAACGAGAACCTTTATTAGAAGACTCCTATGCCAGGCACTGTGGCTCACGCCGGTCATCCCAGGGGGCCAGCAGATCACCTGAGGTCTGGAGTTCGAGACCAGCCTGGCCAACATGGTGAAACCCCAACTTACTGAAAACACAAAAAATTAGCCAGGGGTGGTGGCACACAGCTGTAATCCCAGCTACTCGGGCAGCTGAGGCATGAGAATCACTTGAACCTGGGAGGTTGGAGGTAGCAGTGAGCCGAGATCGTGCCACTGCATTCCAGCCTGGTGACAGAGCGAGACTCTTATCTCAAAAAAGAAAGAAATCAGGGGAAAAAAGCCTCCTAGTCTGAGCACAGTGGCTCACACCTGTAATCCCAGCACTTTGGGAAGCTGTGGCAGGAGGATAGCTTGAGTTAAGTTGAAGGCAAGCCTGAGCAACATAGGAAGATCCTGTCTCTACAAAAATAGAAAAAGAAGCCTCCCACCTCAACCTGAGCAGACTCGTTGGCCAGGACTGGGTCCCATGCCCATTCTGTGGCCAGGACATTTGGCATGAGTCAGTCATTAGAAGGCAGAATTGACTCATGTCAGGAAGTTGCCACTGGGAGGCCCTGGTCCAGATGATGGAGGATGAAGCTTGAGTTACTGTGGAGATGAATTCACTGTGTCTCCTCTATCCATCTAACCCCAGGAGGCCTTGTTGGTAGAAGGAATGAAGGAACGCTGGACCATCTAAACTATTCCCTGGATCTGGGACTCCCAGCCAAGCCCAGAAGCCAAGAACTCATCACGGAAACCAAAATAAGATTGTTTTATTCCAATTCTGAAGCACAATAGTCCAAATAATTCCCCTCCCCTGCTGGAGACTCTCCCGACTCCCAGTGCCCTCCCTACTCTCTCTTCAGAAGGCAAAGGTGGTCCAAGTGTCAGGTCTTGGAGAAACAGCAAAAGCACCCCCGATCCATTTCTTCTCTGCCCATCTCCCACACATTTCCTTTGTCTCCTGTTTTTTCTTCCCCTTCCTACATCCCGTCCCTTCCTCTCCTGCTCCCCCAGCTTTTCCACATCTTCATTTCTGCTGCTTTGCTTGTCTTCTCTCTCCTCCATTTCTGGCTCCCCCTTCTATCCTTTCTCGCTGACCTCCCTCTTTCATCTGTCTTCCATACTTTCTCCCTTTCCCCCTCACCCTCTGCACTCCCAGGAGACTGGCCAGTCTCCTCTTGCCAGACACTCCCCCTGTCATTGCTTCCTCATCCTACCCCCAGCTGTGCCCCTTTCCTTCCTTCTGCCCCAGCCTGACCCTGTCTACACCTCTCATCACACACTTCCTCTCCAGAGGGAAGCCCTCAGCATCCGCCCCGGCCATCAACACCTTCCCCAGCTGTGGTTCCGGGACCTCAGAGACCACTGTCAGCTTGCCCTTGGACTCAGAGAGGCAAACTGCCATGAGGAGGTCCCTGGATGACCCAGGAGGTGGCCAGGGGGACTGCAGCAGTCTCCTTGGCCTCAGCCCTATTATCTTTGGGATCGAAGAATGCCCCCCACCCTCCCGTTGGAGGGTGGTGGGCAGAGGCATGAAATGTCAGGGCTCTGGAGCTCTCCCCCAGCAATCCCTGAGCAGGTCCATGTGGAATAAGGCTGCGCCAGTGAGGAGGCGCGCTGCAAAGAGGTGTCTGCAGGGCAGACGGCGGGCGGCATGGATTGAGCAGCTGCAGCGTGTCAGGGCCCCATCCAGGAAGAAGTCCGAGGTGCCATCCTTAAGGGCAAAGCCAGCTCCGGTCCAGTGGAAACCCCGGGTCCCATGCTGCCTGGCGAAGGCCAACTCCTCAGCCACCAGTTCTGCCAGCTCGGGCCCGCAGGCTGCTCGGAATTTGGCCAGGGGTTCCCAGTCCACCTCCTCCTCTTGTGGTGGGGTGGGCCGGCAAAACCTCTTTGGTTCCCTGGGGCTGTCTTCGCCTCCTTCCTGCAGGCACTCACCTGCAGCCAGGTGTTCACTCCTCGCTGCTGCCCATTCTGGGCTGCCTTCCAATACAGTCCCCACCGGGGTACCACACACAACTCCATTCCCCAGCCCAAGACACCGCCCTCCTGTGTCTCCCCACTCCATCCCTCGTCCAGCTTGGCTCTTGGGGCCCAGGGACCGGGCTCCCCCTCCATCTCCATTCTCCACGCCCATGGCCCTCGTGTCCCCCAGCTGGACCAGAACAACCTCCTCCAGGCCCCTTCTTCTTTTGGCCCCCACCCTCGCTCCCCTCTCTTCTGCCATCTCCGGCCCTCTCCTCTCATCTTCACACCGGGGGCCCCTTTGGTCTCCGTTCTCAGGGGCCAACTCCAGGGACTTCTCCAAAGGGATCCCCCTCAAGTTTCTGACCTCCCACCCCCTCCCCTTCTCTACGTCCAACTGTGGCCCCTTCCATTCTCCAGTTCTCAGCCTCCCCACCCTATCATCGTGCAGCTGTGCCCCCCTCCAGGGGCTTCCTTCAAGACTCCTGGCCCTCTCATAGTCAAACTGGGTTCCCCTCTGGTTGGTGGTCTCCAGCACCCTACTCCTGCGATCCTCCAACTGGGCCCCCCTCCACGGATACCTTTCCAATCCTCTTAGTGCCTGGTCCTCCAACTGGGCCCCCCTCCAGACATAATCTTCCAGTCTCCAATCTTTCTCACCCTCCAGCTGGGGCCCCCTCCAGTCTCTAATTTCTGGCCCTCTCAGGTGCCCTTTCTCCGACTGGGACCCTCTCCAGACAATCCCTTCCAGTCCCCTCGGCTTCTGATTCTCCAACTGACCCCCTCTCCAGTCTCTGATCTGCAGCGCCCTCCCCTTCTCACCTTCTAACGGAGCCCCGCCCCAGTCTCTGGCTTCCAGTCCTCTGGCCCACTCCTTCTCCATCTGGGCCCCCCTCCAAATACTTCCTTCTTCCGGGACCCCTCCCCAGTCGCCTGTCTCCAGGCCCCTCACCCTCTCGTTCTCCACCTGGGCCCCCCTCCCCGGCTCACCCTCCAGCCACAGCCCGCCGCCATCGGGGCCCTCGGGCGCCGCCTCCCCGGCCGCGTCCGCCCACTGCATGGCCACCAGGTCCCGAAGGCACTGAGCTACGCCACGCGAGGGGCTGAGACGGCGCAGCAGTCGCCGGCGGTGGCCTCGCACCAGGGCGCACGCGTCCAGGTCCCGGGCCGCCTCGAAGGCGCGGAAGCGGACCCACATATCGCGGCGGGGCTCCCAGTTGCGCTCGAAGTAGTCGACGAAGGCGGCCGGGCCGTGGGCGTGCAGCTCGGCCAGCGCCTCGTCGTAGGCGGCGGGCGACGACGCGCCGGCCAGGCGGCACAGGCGCGACCACAGGCCCGGGTCCTCGCGGCCAGCGCCGCCCAGCTCCTGCGCCTTGCTGAAGAGCGTCTCCAGGCCCTGCGCGCGGCAGATCTGCACGCGCGCGCAGGGCAGCAGCTGGCGCACGGCAGGCAGCTGTGCCGCCACCTCCGGCCCGGCGGTGAGGCAGCGCACGCGGCCCTTGACGTCTGGCGCACTCTGCAGCAGCGACGCGAGCGCGAAACGCAGCAGGCTCGGCGTGCCCGGGCGCGCCACGCAACAGGCAGCCTGGCGCGCACGGCCCGCGCCGTCCACGCACAGCACGGCCAGCAGATCCAGCGCGCCCTGCAGCCCCGGCAGCCGGTCCACCAGCAGCATGCGCGGGAAGCGCCGCAGCAGCGCCCTGGTGCGCGACGTCAGGAAGAACACCGTCTCCACCACCGCCTGGTCCTCCACGAACACCAGCTTCACCTGCGGGCGGGGACAGGGAGGCAAGGAAAGAGGTCAGAGGATGCTGGGGTCTCCCCGCCCAGCTCCTCGACCCCGGTTTCCCCTTCTAGGGAAATGGGAACTGATTCATTCTTGCCTGCATATGCATTTATTCTTTTGAGCAGCAGGGGGCAGTGCAGGGAAATGGTAAAAAACACAGACTCGCGGTGGTTCACGCCTGTAATCCCAGCATTTTGGGAGACTGAGGCGGGCGGATCATTTTAGGTCAGGAGTTCGAGACCAGGCTGGCCAATATGGTGAAACCCCCGTCTTTATTAAAAATACAAAAATGAGTTTGCAGTGGGCCAAGATCGTGCCACTGCACTCCAGCCTGAGTTACAGAGCGAGACTCTCTCAAAACAAAACAAAACAAAAATTAGCCAGGCCTGGTGGCACACGCCTGTAGTCCCAGCTACTCAGGAGTCTGAGGCAGGGAAATCGCTTGAACTTGGGAGGCAGAGATTACAGTGAGCCAAGATCGCACCACTGCACTCCAGACTGGTGACAGAGAAAGACTCCGTCTAAGAAAAAAAAAAAGGTGTCAACAATTTTGCCCATAATTTTGGCACATCCTTTTTGTCTGACCCCCTCCAAAGATCCAGAGAGCAACCCCAACTCAGGATGTGTCAGGCACTTTTCACTGACCTCCTTCCTTCATCTGTCTTCTATACTTTCTCCCTTCCCACCCTTATCCTCTGCACTCCCTAGACTGGCCAGTCTTCTCTTCCTTTGGAAGACTGCTGGGAAGTGCAAAGACCATTTGATTGTTGCTTGCCTAGGATTGGGATGAAACTTGTTTTTTTTTTTTTGACATGGAGTTTTGCTCTTGTTGCCCAGGCTGGAGTGCAATGGCATGATCTCGGCTCACCACAACATCTCCCTCCCGAGTTCAAGTGATTCTCCTGCCTCGGCCTCCAGAGTAGCTGGAATAACAGGTATGCACCACCACGCCCGGCTAATTTTGTATTTTTAGTAGAGATGGGGTTTCACCATGTTGGTTGGGCTGCTCTTGAACTCCCAACCTCAGGTGATCCGCCTGCCTCAGCCTCCCAAAGTGCTGCAATAACAGGTGTGAGCCACCGCGCCCAGCCCTGGGATGAAAATTTAAAGCTCTTCCTTTATTTATTTATTTGAGAAAGGGTCTCACCCGGTTGTCAAGGCTGGAGTGCAGTGGTGTGATCATAGCACACTGCAGCCTCAAGTACTTGGGCTGAAGCCACCCTCACGCCTCAGCCTCCCGAGTAGCTGGGACTACAGATGCATACCACTATGCCTGATTTTTTTCATTTTTTGTAGAGACAGGGGCTCGATATGTTGGCCAGGCTGGTCTTGAACTCCTGGGCTCAAGTAATCCTCTCGTTTTGGCCTCCCAAAGTGCTGGAATTACAGATGTGAGCCATTACACCTGTAATGTATAATATGTAATTCATATTATAATTTGTATTATTAATATTACATATTATAATATGAATTACATATTATAATATTAATAGTAATTATTACATTATATTACTATTATATATTAATACATTAATAATATTGAACTATTTCAGCAGATTTTGTAAGTAAAAAAGGTGAAACTTCTGTGTAAAAGTGATGGATTGAATACCTCTCTAGTTTCTTTCTTGAACCTCAAGTACGTCTATTTTTTAAATGGCTTTTTTTTTTTTTTTTTTTTAAAGACAGAGGCAATATGACAGGGACAGAACTTTGGAAACTGGAAAGTAGCCAGACATGCTTCTTCCACCCCCCCAAAAAAAACCATGAATCCTAAGCCAGCAATTGGGGGATGCTGAGAACCGGTAGCAAAGTCCTCCAAAGGAGCTGGCAACCGCAGGCCGGTTTTGCGCAAGGGAAAATAAAGATGAACTGAGGGCTGTTTCAGCAGCAGCCAGACCTCCAGATCCCGCTTCCCCTCTCCGTGGACTGAATGCAACTTGCGGACTGAATGCCTGCCAGCTCCCTGCCTCTGCCCTGGTGTGGCTCCCACAGCTGGCATCCTGCCCTTCACCCCCAGCCAGGAGGTTGGAG